GAAATGATGGGATCGATCATCAACAGGAGCCTGGAAAGACCCAGTACCTTTTTGTCAACGTGTTTCTTGCTCTTTTTTCAGTAAATGGGCTCCCAAGCATGAGCATGTTGAAGTGGGAAATTCCCTGGATCAGAGAGCCAAAAACTGTCGTCTTATTCTGTAAGTGTTGGTTTAAGCAGGGCAGATGGGATTTGCAAAACTCAAAGATCGCTGAGCAGCTTCTGCCAACTTACCTTTCTTCAGCACAGGATAATCTGTGGAGTCACTCCTGACCCTTCAGGAGAGCTAAAAGAGTGCTGTGGAGTCTGAGCTGCTTAGCTCAGAAGTCAGAGCAGGGCAGTGGGAGTTAGGAGTCCTGTAACTCTTTCAAGGCAAGTCACTTAACCATCCTCCAGTCACCTTTAATACCTAGTCTGAAATGCAACTTAATATTGTTATTAGCGTTTATAAGAAGTGTGTGGATCGTGGATGGAAACTCCTCAGTAAAGTCACATTCTTATTATCTGCTGTACTCTGACTTCCAAAAGATGTATAAAGGCAGCTCTTTGGCCACCATTCTGGCTGCCTCCTGTTGAAAACTCTCATGAAGTTGTGGGAGTTGTCTGCACTCTGCCATTCATTTCTCCTCTTTTCTGGAGTTAATGTTTGGCAATGGAAGCAGGCAGGAGCTGTGTATCAGCTGGATGAAAAGGCCAGGCTCACTGCTTTTAGTACTGATTTTGTGCTGCCCACTTTCAGAGTCATCCCCAAGAATTAAATTTTTCTACTTGTACACACAGGCAAGTGTTAGCACCCACGTTTTGCGGGTAGGAAAAGATTGGTGTCCTGTCCAAAATCAGAGACTTTTCTGACTTTTGGGTGAGATACAGGGTGGGGGCTCAGGCATTTATGGCACCACGAACCAGCCCTTCTCCATCACCATAGATTTTTAGTACACGTCTGCCTTGCTAGAGGCCTCACAAAGAGGGGAGGAATTCAGTTTTTGCATCTTCTGCTTTGTGATGAGTAGGGTGCAAATTATCTCAAAGCAATGTGGCAAGTGATTCTGTTCTTTTCTTGGTGCAGATGAGATACAGCTCCACTGTTACCCACGGGTGTTCATTGGTGCTGGTGAAAGGGGATGCCTGCTGATACTAGCCTTTATTAGAGAAAATGCTATGAATACATATTTCGATCCATGGAAACCATATCTTTATTTGAGAGCAGGCCTGAAGAATTACAGTTTTTGTAAATGAAAAGTTTTTTCGATGTTTGAGTGAGAAGAGAAACTGGAGAGAAGAGACCAAATAAGAATTTAGAACTCAGTTGTATCTAGAGTTCAAAATCCTACAGAACGTCACTGATATTATCAGTTTTCTCCTACTGCGGGTAATTCTGCTGATCTCTCATGGAACAACTCACAGCAGCAAAGCTAAGCATGGTCTGGAGGGCTGGAAACCACCTCTCAGATTCTGTCTGCTCCCTTCACTGTGCAGCAATGAGTCCCACCAGGAAGATAGTTTCAGGGTCTGTGACCTGTTTACAAGACATTGTGGGCTCCTTGGCAGGCAATTTGCCTTTGAGACTGCAATTCACTGCTGACTTGCCAGTGGTTTGGGAGCTGCTCACCTAAAAGCTGCATGTTGGAAGAATACCCTTATCAGATAGGGAATCAGAGGAATACCCTTATGAGATAGGGAATCAGAGCAACTTATTCCAATGTGATCTGTGAAATGCTGATATTCTTAAAGAAATGTCGTTGCCCAGAAAGAAGGTGCTGTTCAAGTGAACTTGTTAAGAAATCTAAATTTGATTCCATAATTTTTATTTATGCTGTGTATATGTAATATCTTGAAGGTGTATGTAATGATATGCTTTGTAAGGTGCTGCATGTATCATTGTTTATGTAGAAAACTTCAATAAAAACATTTTGCTTTACTATCTTTGTATGGAAGATTGCAAGTTATTTAATTATTTGTCGCTGTCCAATAATACTAGTTTTAAAGTCTGTGGAAGTATTGTGCCTTCAAGAGAATATTCTTTTAATGGAAGTAGGTTTCTTGGGGAAGGACCATTTTATTATCCACTGATCAGCTTTTGGTCATGAAGCCATACGGACAAAACTTTTTTTTCTCTTTCTTGTCGAATTAGTCCTATAGCCTCTATCTGGATTACTTAAATTTACAGTATAATACAATGTAAACCAGAATCTTTTTCTTAACTGTGGTATCCCAAGTACTTAACAGCATGCACCTCCAGAGGGCCTGTTGCTGTGCAGCCCCAATCTTGCACAGCGGAAGTGAGTAAGAGTTTTGTAACTGAATTCAGGGGTTTCAAGATTGAGCCTTAAGTGCAGTTACCTTACCGGGGACCTGAGATTTAAAAGAATGACTCATATCTCTAAGAAGAAATGTTTTGCAACTTCTGCAGGTTATGCAAATCATGCTTTTCCCCTTTTCCTCCTCTCCTGATGAGTCAACAAACCTTTTCCTGACAGTGAAAACCACTGAAAAGATGTTTCTTAGAGTGTAAGGAGATGAGGGATTATGCTCAAGGTATTTTCTATATAGTCAGTCAAAGACAGAGAGACGATTGTCAGTACGTCCTTCACCTCTGCCATCCCATTACTGGCATTACCCCGGTCATTTTGTATTTTATTCTTGCTATTGTCAATGCAGATTATCACTTAGAATCTAATAAATAAGTTTTAACATGATAAAGCATTCTGCATGGCCTATTCGCGGGGTCTGTCCCTATCCCCTAGCTGAATCCTGCCAGTGGATTTAGCTAAAATACAGCTTCAAAGGCTGCAGTGGAGGCTGTAGTCTTTCTATGTAAAATACATTTCCACCAGGTGATACCTGTTTCATTGAGAGAAATGTCAGTGCAGCTCTGGAGCAGGCCTGCATGACATACAGGAATTAGGAGAACAGGATCTCAAGTCTAAGCTAAAGGAGTGTTATGAATAATATAAAATTTTGACTTTGTGGTATTAAACTGAAGAGATCAAGATGAGGCAGACAGGAATAATAAAGAATCAGGGCACCCCACCAAGTCTGAGGAGGCTGGTTTAGGTTGCATCTTCAGGCACTGTAAAGGTACATAGGCCAAGGTAATTCTAGGTAATTCACTACAAACTCTATGCTGCAACAACCAGCCAAAACCACTCATCACCTGTCACCTTCTTTTGATCTTCTGAGATCTCTTAAGACACCTGCCTGAAGCTGTATAGAATAGCAGGAAATTTAACTTCTAGGATGAAAAGAGTGTATTCTGACATCGCATCCTTTCTGTCCTGAAACGAGGAAGCTTTAAGCAGTTGTTGGAATATTTGCCATTGTCTTTGGCATGAGATCTCTCTTTTCCTAGGGGCATATTTATTTTTCAAAATGATGAAGAAGCAGAAGTCACTGAGCAGTGCAACTCCTGTGCCAAAAAGGCTTGATTATCCCAGGACTCTGAAAAAGATATAAGTTCCCTTTTGTGATAATTTGATCATTGTCCTTTTCTGACCAGAACTTTCCTCTGTTGTGATACTTCTGAGTTTTGCTTGCAAAGTAGCCGCTGTAGGAAATCGGGATGAAATCTAATAATTTGGTTTGGGGGATGTGTTTGAAGGAGAAGAAAATATCTCCTGTGTCAAAGTAAATTTTGCAGAAATTGCCTTAGTGCTCTGGACTTTCAGATTAATGCATAGAACTTGGCACATGTGCCTGTAGGTATTGGCTGGCTGTTGAGGAGAAAACCGTATAGCAGCAGGGGTCTTCTGATTCTTTTCTCCCTTTGCTATAGCGGAGACATTTGTTCCAGTGATTTCTTTTTGTCAAATAGTTCTTGCATTTGCTTTTATGTGTACAGGATGGTTTATAAAAAAAAACCAACTTGTTGTCCACAATCTTCATAGAACAGGAACTTGCATATGCGAGGCATTAGTTTTGGATCTTTCCTCTTCTTTCCATACTGTTTGGAATGGAAAGGTTGCTAGGGCAAAATGTCAAAGGAGTCATGATTATTTCTGCTATGATTTATATGTATGTATTGTGGCAGAGCAGTAAAACCCCTTTTTTTGCCATGATTTTGGCTTAATTTTCTTATTGCTGGCTCATCAGCGATGATGCTGATTAACGTGTTGTTTAATTTCCTTTTGTCTTTTTCTTCTTAAAAGTCTTTGCAACAATGTATAAAACCCCAGTAATGATGGCTGATTTTGCAAACCATGGCAAAAATTCTGAGGGTTTTTTCCAGGGTAACGCTGGGACCTTTCTGTATAGTTTATGTTCTTTAACATATACTGTGGGCAGATTAATAAGTTTTTTCAGTCTGTAATATTCTTTCAATAAGAGATCACTTCTGTTCTCTTCGATAAGGAGAATTTAATCTGTTCGCCACAACATCAGACCAAAGACAAAACAGGTCTTCCTTTTGCTGTTTTATTTTGGTTACTGTATACATTGGGGGTTTGAAATGCTGTGGCTAAAATACTGCAGCGGCTGACCACAGAGGTACTTTGCTTCAGATGTTATGAATTAAAAACTGACAGCTTTTAAAATTGGTTTGCTCACTGCAACCAGTGAGTAAACTGTGCTCCTTGTTGGTCAGTCTTTCCCATTTTTGTTGCAGTGGGAGTCTTCTCCCTGACAATCCCCTTCTCCTGAAGAGGAAATCCTTAATCTGGGAGGCCAGGGAGCTATTCTGCAGGAGGTGATGGATGCATTCAAGGCAATGGTTTGCTGTGAGAATCTTAGCTATCTTTAAACTCAGGAAACTTGGAAAAGCTGGGGGTCAAATAGAAGTGAGAAAACTGGCGTTGGACGTGCTCATCAGCTCATCACTGACATCAGTTAATTGCTGCTGCTCCCTGCCCCTGACACTGTGGCTGAATGGTATTTGGTGTCTTAGTGATGCTTTGGGGTAGTTTTGCAGCGTGCAGACATTCTCTGCTTTACCTGCACCCAGAAGAAATTTGGCAAATAACTCTAGTTTCCCCAAGGACTTGATTTTTTATTTCTTTCTGCTTCTAGGTGTCAGTCAGTCTCTCCACCGCCTCTTTTGTCCCCGCGAAGAAGCCCAGCCTACCCCCTCAGCGATAGTGAGGACTCTTGCCGCTCTACTCGGCTCACCAAAGTCTCCAACTCCAGACTGCGCCTCAAGGACTGGAGCACCCGCACGTGTACGCTGCGAAGCACCTCCACAAGCCCATCAGACACTGAACTGTCGGGCCACCCTCTAAAAGCCATCAGTGTGGGCGCTTTGGATAAAAGGCTGTCTGTGTTCAAGGCCGAGGACCAGAAGGAGAGTCCAAAGGAGACTCAAGATGGGGAAGCAATAGGGAGCCATCTGCTCGCCCGGAGCACTCTGTCCTTGGGCACTGCCACCAACTTGAGGAACCTCTCCCTCAGCCGGGCGAGCGTCCGCTCCCAGGCGCTGGACATCAGGCAGAAAATCACAGAATGGGAGTGCCGCCGGGAGCCATCCCCCAGGATGAGCATGTGTGTGGACAAGAGGGATGCTGGGGAGAGGTCGGGCAGTGAGAGCTGCCCCAGCGTACTGACCTCTCCCTGCAGCGAGAAGACGTTTGATTTCAAAGGGCTCAGAAGAATGAGCCGAACATTTTCCGAGTGCTCTTACCCGGAAACGGAGGAGGAGGAACTGCTGGACAGGGATTCCTGCCATCGGTTCGAAAAGAGACCAGGCAGGAGCGAGCCTCCTTCTGCTGCTTTCCTCAAGGGCCATGTGAGGAAAGAGTCCTCTGCCGTGCTCAACAGAATACAGAAGATTGAGCAGGCACTGAAAGAGCAGCCCGGCAGAGGCCTCCCCCAGCTACCAAGTAGCTGTTACAGTGTTGACAAAGGGAGGAAAAAGTCTGTGACTCTGAGCACTGTGGAGGGACTGAGTGAAACCCTAAGTGATAGCAAAGGAGGGAGTGTTATTTTGGGGAGTGAACCAGAAACACCTACTGAGGCTGAGAAAAGCAGTAAGACAAAACAGGGGGTTACTGCAAACTCAGCTGGCCCTAAACTGCTCCTTGAAAGCCCAGCTAACACTGCGGTGAATCCCGTCCCCAAGCCTAAACGCACCTTTGAATATGAAGCAGACAAAAACCACAAAACTAAACCAAGCAATGGCCTACCTCCATCTCCTACACCTGCTGCTCCTCCTCCCCTCCCATCCACCCCTGCACCCCCCGTGACCAGAAGGCAGAAGAAAGAGTCGCGCTTTCACAGAAAATCCCAGAATAGGTAAAATTCAAGGAAATGTCTTGTGCTCAATCTTCAAATAAATAAATGTGCTGTATTTTTTTAGTAACAGTATTTTAAATTCTTCTTCTAATGCAATGCTTTTGACCTGAGAAATGCTAGGAATTGTGTGCAAGACAAGTATTTTTTCCTCTGGACTACATTGATGGGATGCATTGGTACAATACCTTTACATGGCTACAGTTTTGGGGTTCTCCAACCTGCATTCCTCGATCCCTGGAAAAGGCTCTAGGTCATGTGTGCTAAAGGTTATCTTGCTCCTTTTGGCACATAAGCCCTGACTTGAGATTTTTAGAGGAGCATAACTTCATTGTCCTCTTGTAGTGGGACCATAGCTGATCTGTCATAGTCCTGTCTGCCTGCTCACTGCAAAACGTACCTGCAGAGGGTTTGTGTTTCCAAAGCTTGTTACCACAGCATTTGTGTCGGTTTTATGCAATGTTGATGATTTTATTTAATTCAGAGCTTAGAAATGTTGTCCTAAGTTACTATCAATAGCTGTAGAGGATCAATGCTGAGAAAAATGTTTTAGCACAGAAAGGCCTTTATATCCTTCCTGAGTTAATGATGAGCAGAGCATATGGCTACGTTTCCCCAGCAGTCTGTGGAGCTTGGCTTGTTTTAGTTACATGATTCCCCTTGACATTTTGGAAATGGTATAACTCGTTCTGCCCATGGCTTAGAAAATTGTAGGCATAGTTGTTGTTAAGCATTCAAAGTATGACATTTTTAACAAGTTCACCTATCTGTGCATGTGTACTATACACACACACACACTCTTGGTATTTAGTGATGAGTTTTGCAAGTAACTGCTAAACAGCATCTCAAATGCACACTATCAATTCAGTATCTGGTGCTTGATGTTGGCTCAATTAATTAGAAGTTTATGTCAGCACAACCTGACCTGAAGTACGCTGAGGCAGGAAAAGGAGAAGAGGAGCCTTCAGACTCTGTTCTTTACTTTCAAGAGACACCTGCTTCTGAAATGGGTTGAACAGCTCTACTGACGTGCACTGTTTCTCTGAGAAAGGCGCGGGGGCAGGGGGGGAAATGTGAAAAGCCAAGTTCTGATTAGCAGTGCTTATCTTAGAGTTCTGGCAATAATCTCAGTTAGAGGAAGTAAATCTAGATTTTAACAAGAATTTGTGAAATAAAGCTGACCTCATTTTGTTCAGCACAGCATTTCCAATGTACAGAAGACAAACAATAATTTTTGAATGTTCTGCTATAAATGATAGCCTTTATTGGAAAATTAAGGGGCAAGTGTTAAAATGGTCTGTGTGGTGGGTCGTGGAGAGGAATGAATAACAGGAGATTATTCTTGCACAGCATCACTGGGTGACCTGTGGCTAAGTGATCAAAGTCAGTCTCTGACCACATACTCACACTGAGTTTGAGACTATACAAGTCATCTGAGAACCACAGTATTTTGTTACAATGAGTTTGTGAGACGAAGTTTTGCAACCTCTTTCAAGAAGAGGTACAATTCATGCTTGTACCTACTGTTCTGCAGCTTCAGTCCCCTGTCATAGTGGAGTTAGACAACAGCATGGTTCAGCAATGGAGCCTCAGTCCTGAGTGGGGCTAGTAGGTGCGAGCCCAAAACAAAAGCAATATTTATCAATTTAAGTTGTGTTAGTGGAGTATAAGTTGTGGGATTTACAATGTTGTTATGTGTACCTGATGATTCTTGCAAATCAGCTTGACGTTGTACAGGGTGGGTTTCCATTTGCTTGTAACAGCTTTACCCTTCTGTAGTTTAGGGATTTCTCTGGACTTACCTCTGATTAATGATGATCTAAATAAGTTTAAATCAATGTCCCAACATCACAGGTTTGCCAGCTGACTTCAAGGCTGAGTGGAAATCCTTTATAAAATCTTTAACTTTATTGTCTTTGCTGCTGTCCTTCCTTTAGTTACAGTAAGGAGAATTCCAGTGTTGACAAAGAGCTTGAGATCATACGAGTTATCTAAGAATGACAGTATTTTATTAATATTAGTTATTGAAATCTCAGTCTCTGAACTGTTCTCTTTTTGAGAACAGAATTAATTCTGTCTACAACTTGTAACTGTGTGTTTCAGATTGAACATATGTGCGGTCTGCACTCACTGGAATGTCATGAGAATGGACTGTGGATATTTATTCTTCTAATTTGGTCAAAAACACTGGTTTTCTTTGTGGTGGCTAATTCAACATTATAGTAAAATGGAGGAAGTCTCTCATATTTGCCTGCTAGTATATAGCCAGTCTGTATTCAGAGGACATGGTGCCCGTGGTAGCTTCTACACTTCAGATGTGAGCTGGATGTCTCCTGGCAGTTGGAGATCCTCTGGCACAGACACAGTGCAGGAGAGGAGTGTCACAGGATAGGTTTGGGACAGATGGACCACAGCTGAGTGCTGGTCCACAAAACCATTCCTGTGGTCCTATGCAGTGTTACTGCATCGTAGCATTGCCTTGAAATCTATGAGAGATGGATATTTAACTACTTTAGAAAATCTTATCTCATACACAGGTATGTCTTCAGTGCCTAAGTATCTTTTATAACTGCCAGTAGGTGTGGAGGAGTGGATGTCCGGATCTGAAACACACAGATTGTTTCTGCCACAATCCTGATGTGCATAACATGGACCTGGATATTCTTAAGATTAGGGAAAGGAGAGAGAGGGGGCTCCTAAGCCTGCCCCAGACCCATAACTCTGCTCCAGCAGACAAATAGGAAATGTTCTTGTCAAATGCAGTGTCTGTACGATAGTCACTGTATTGCCTGTAGGGATGCTCTTGAGCCAATTAACAGGCTGAAGTATGTCTCATGAGACTCTGCCACTGCCATACGGATATGCTGTCAACATATGTTTCACTCCAGCTGGGGAGAAGAGGAAAGGGGGTTGATGGCAGGATGATTTACTCTTTATCTAATTTGGGTATCAATGAGTGAAGTATGGCCATAAGCACAGTCTTTGCAAGCCTTACAGCACCCCGGGATTTACACTCTGACCTGAGCCCATTTTTCACACTGTTTCATCCTCAGTACTAAATCAATCAAATGAATGCTAGCCCCTGTACAGCTGGCAATGCAAACCATGCACCTTCCAACTTCAGTGTAGATGTTGCCTTAGAGAACAAGTGCTGGGCAAACTGGAGAATGGGGAAGGCTTGGGCTCCTCTTCACCCAGAGCTGCTTGGCAGCACTGGAACAGATGTGGGTGAGAGGCAGTGAATCACCTCTCCTTTGAGTACTGGAGTGGGAGACAAGTTGTATGGGTTCATCTGACCCAGCTGCCCCTCATCTTCCTGCCAGAAAGCCCGAACCTTCAGGGCCCCAGCCATCAGCTCGGGCTGCTCGTCTGCCCCGGAGAGCCTTAACTTCCTCCATGCTTTGTCCTTTGCTGCCAGTGCTTGAGGCAGGGTGTGCAAGGGAAATGGCTGACTTTCACATGAGTCTGCCTTTGGCATTTGTACACTGACCTTTATGAGGGAACATATCTGGAGGTTCAAGACATGTGAGTGTTTTCAAACTAAGGGCTATGTCTCCCAGAGCAACTGGTGGAGGAATGCTTTCCAGAGAAATGTCTTTTTCTTGAGGAGAGATGGCCACATGTTTCTGGGGCCCCTGGCAAGAGCAAAGCAATTTCTAATCTGAGGACTGTGCTGCTAACTTACTCTGTAACCTTTGAAAAATATCACATACTTTCTTGGTGTTTTCTCCCTGTCCACAGAATGGGGATAACAATACTTCCAACCTCATAAAAGTGTCACAGGTTGCTATACTAAAGACTGCTGTGAGTAGAGGACTTGAGGTCCTCTAAAAGTTAGTCCTTAAAGCATGATGTGTCATTTTTTTTGTTGCTCATTTTATATATATTTCTTAGCAAACAAGTGCTCAGCTAAGTGTTTGAGTCATTTTGCATTCTAGTTACTAATTACTTATTGTTCTAAACTTTAGAAAATCCTTTGAGTTTGAGGATGCATCAAGTCTGCAATCCCTGTACACTCCCTCCCCAACTGAAAATGGGACTGAGAGCCAGCATAAATTTGGATCCAAGAGCACTTTAGAAGAAAATGCCTATGAAGACATTGTAGGTAAGAACCTGTTGCAGTACCTGGGCTCGCAGTGGGATGTTGAGCAGTTGTGGTCAGACTGTGTATTGTTGAACACATGCCCTGTGCAAGAATGTTCAGTGCTGTCAGTAAAGAGAGATTAAATGGAGGCTAAATGGGTTTAACGCATCAGTGCAAACATAACTCTCTGCGTGCAGGACTTGATTCCTTTGGACTTCATTGGGTGGTGTTGGAAACAGACTGTTTGGTCAGCTTTTTGCCATGCTTTTCAAGAATGAAATCATTCTTTTTATCAAGGCCTTGGCTTGAAGCCTTGAGTGGTGTAAAAACGTAAAGAACTGGACTTGAGATAGTGTTTACAGAACTATCCAATAGCAAGATTAACCTCACAGACCTTGTGTGGTCAGCCTGAGCTTTTCAGGACTCCTGTGTGGACTGCCCCAAAGCAATTGTTAGTAGCACTGTTTCTGGACTCCCCTAAGTCCCAGTTGCTGGTTAAAGAAAAATTAATTTCCTTTAGTTATACAGCCATCAGGAATGCGCAACAAAAACACTGTTTTGATTAAGCTTCACAAGAAAAACATGTTTCTTTTGGTCTTAGCAGGAAATGCATGGCCTATGCATACATTCTTTTAACATCAAAAAAGTTGTTATAATTACTGAAAATTGGGCAGCCCTTCAGAGCACAGATTTTCCACACAAGTAGTGAATATCTACATTGTTTTTAACTCTTTCAGTGTTGTATTATTACAACAGATACAAAGGGTACTTCATTTTACTTTGGACAATGAATCTTTATCTACTGAAAACTGGAGGGCTACCAAGATAGTCAGGGGCCCTAGGGCACGTGTCCTCAGAAGAGACACTGACAAGCTGGGCTTGTTTAGTCTGGTAAAAAGGAGGACCAGAGGCAGTCTAATATTGCTTACAAGTGTTTGAAGGGCAAACAAAGATGATAGAACAAAACTCTTCTTGGTCATATCAGTTGACACAGCAAGGAACAGTGGCCACAAATTGCAGCTTGGGGCTCTTTGTCCTTATACCCAAATTCTGTCTCTGGCTTCTCAGCCTCAGTGAAAACAGGAATTTACTCTTTCCATTTTCAGCTGTTGTCTCCCTCTATGCCATTCAAAAAAACGTTTTCAGAACACAAAAAAATGCTACTGTTCAGTGTCTGTTAATAAAAATAAGAGCTTATGTAGATACTAAAAAGTTTTTTTTTTTCTGTGGAGAGCATCCTTATGTGATCATGAGCCTTCTCCATGAACAGTCAGACCACTGTGCAATTCACACTTGAAAATGTATTGTGTGTTAATTACAGTGCTTATCTTTGCTCAGGACCTGTCAATGTGCTGCCAGATGTTAGGTGGTAATGCTTCTTTTCCTTGCTTTGGTTTGTTGAATATCAGAATAAATCGTGCAGGACTCGTAAAAAGCTTTCTTCAAATGAGAAAAAATCTTCAGTAAAACAAAATCATAATGGGCTCTTCCAACTCATGGGAACTATAAGCCAGCTCCCTGCAGATTATAATTTGGGCATTTTGGCAGGGCAGTGGGAAGAGAATGCAAAATTTCAGATGTGTGGACAAACATAGAACGTCATTGTTTTGTACTGCTTTTTAACAACCTCTTTCCAAAGCACTTCATTCAATACAGGCAGTGCGGGGGGAATACCAAATCAGTATAATTCTTATAAACTGTCAAGAGTAAAGACAAGCCAAAGTAGTTTGATCTCCAGCTTTAAAGAAGCTATCGTAGTTTTGTGTATCACATCTGCATAATTTATTCCATTAGTGCTAGACCCCAGTCTCTAAGTAGCACTTTTGTAGTCATGCAAGCCAGGTGTCTGTAAGAGTGAGTTTATTTTATAGATTTACATCTGCTTCAAAGCTATAAAGGACTCGGTCACTGCTGCTTTGGTTTTTCTTTGCAAACATTTGCCCTAGAGTTGGTGGTGGGTTTTTTGTCTATACCTGGTTGAATCTCCTGCCTCCCTAAAAGCTTGTAGGTAGTTAAAACATCGTCACCGTAGTAATAAACTTAATAAAGTGTTGTGTCGGCCCCCCATAAAATTAAAACTTTTAATGCAAGTAAGTGTTAAACACACACACAAAAAAAGGCTGTGAATCTTGGGCAATGCTCTAAGCACTCTACTGCGAGATGGAATCATAAAAAAAAATTCAGGTTGGAAGGAACTCTGGAGTCAGCTGGTCCAACCTCTGCTCAAAGCAGGGCTAGTTTCAAAGTTAGATCAGGTTGCTCAGGCCTATGTCTGGTTGAGTTTTCAAAATATCTTAGGAGGATGGTTCCACTGCCTTTCTGTGCAGCCTGCTCCACTGCTTAACCTCCACTGTGAAGAATTTTTTCTTGATATCACTGTGAAGGAATTTTTCTTTCTATCCAGTCAGAATTCTCCTTGTTGCTATGTGCGATCGTTGTCTTTCATTCTTTCACTGTGCACCTCCAAGAAGCATCTGGCTCTGCCTTTCCCGTAACCCCTTCTAGGTAGTGGAAGACAGCAGCTGGGTTCCCCCCCCAGACTTATCTAGGCTAAACAGTCCCAGTTCTTTCAGCCTTTTCTCATTTATGTTGTATGCTCCAACACCCAACCATCTTAGTAGCCTTGCTCTAGACTATCTGTAGTCTGTTGAAGTCTCTTTGGTACTGTGAATACTCCAGATGCGGCCTTGCAAGGGCCAAATAGAGGGGAATTACCACTTCCTGTGACTTGCTGGACACATTCTTATTAGTGCAGGCCAAGGGGTGGTTGGCCTTCCTTGCCCCGGCATGTACTGTCACGGAGTTATTCTGACCCACATGTGGGACTGTATTTGTCTTTATTCTAAACTTCCCAAAGTTCCTGTCGAGCAGTTCCTTCAGTTTGATGAGGTCCCCCGGGACAGAAGCCCAGCTCTCCTGTCTGTCACCACGTCCCCCAGCCTGGTGCCCCTCAGCAGGATGTCTCTCCCTCATTGGAAAGCAGAGGAGAGCTGTGGTTAAAAGTTGTGAGTTATCTATCAGAGGCTATCTTCTAAAAAGCATATTTAATGTTAGGTATCTACAAGATGCTGTGTGGGGTACTGAGTGGTCTCATTCAGACTAGTGCAATGATCAAAAGAAAGCTTCTAAGCACGTAAGTGCTAGCACTAGAGTCATTGGTTTTTTGGTTACTACATGACCTTCTCACGTGATGCACATGCACACTAAACCTTTGTCTTTCTCCCGGTTCCCTTACACCGTTTCCTTCTTTAATGACCAGAACAGTGATGAACTGCTATGGCTAGTTTATGTTATTTTGAGAGCTGACTTTAAAAAAAAAAAAGAAAAAAAAAAAGAAAGTTTTCCGGTACATTAAAACCAAAAATGATTGTGCTTTGAAATCCAGAGACATCATGAACCAGACGCTTTGTTTAATTTTGTAATATTTTTGTACACTTTAATAGATGAAATATCTGCAGGTTAAGTTCAAGACAGGTAGTGGATTGGAACATAACGATCCATTCTGCATTAATCAAGAAGCAGTTGTATAAAAGGGTGCACATTCCTAATATTAATCAGAGCTGTATTACATGTGCAAGGAACCATGTGGACTTCATTCATCTTCTGTACTAGCACTCACAGGAATGTGGCAGTCATAGTAAACTTAACATTGTTTTGCTTCTTGTGGTTTTGAATGAGTCTTTAATCAGACCAAAATTGATGTGGCTTTATGAATCCAGTTGGGGAAACCATGCTTGGCTTTGTGCAAATTCAAGAAACTATCATAATGTTAAGAGATGTCTGAGATGGTTGCTTCTGCTGTGTTTGTGGACAACAGTATTTCCTGTCATATGTACCATACGGTTTCAGTTTTCCAGTCTGTTCCCCTAAATGCAGTTGAGATATTTGAATATTGTTATTTAAGGTGTGGTGTGTCTGAGGGATTTTTCACCTGACACCTAGAAGAAAGCACTTGTTATCATCACCAAAAAAAGCTGAATGAGTAAAGTGAAGGCAAGGTTAAGGGCGCAATATTAAGTCTAACTTGAGAAAATCTAGTAAACCCATGTAAATTATAGTTTGTATTTGTAAGAGAAATTGCACTCATAATTTAGAGATTAAATCTTTGACAAGGCAAGCCTTACTCTGTTTGTAACTCCTCAGAGTGCTGGACACAGTAGAACAGGTGGACATTTCCTCTAAGGGGACACTACATAGATATGTAGGAGACCCATTGCTCAGCTGGGCTGTGCGTGTTGCATCGTAGATTGAGAACATTTAATTTGATGTCACACAACTCCATTTGCCCTGTCCAAGCAAGAGCCGTTTGCTCTTATAGCCACCTGGCCCCCCTTTAAAACATTTTTTTCCCCCAAGAAGAATGAAAGTGATTAAAATGCTTTTCCTCCCTGAAGGTCTCTGACTAATGAGGTTTCTTGCTTCTCTGCTGTTTTTGAAGTCATAGGTGGACTATTCAGCACGTAGCCCAGGTGGACAAGTATGAGATTATTCATCATCTAACAGCTGTAGTCTCTTACTGGTGCAATAAGGAGAGCAGTTTGTATAAGAATGAGCTTATTGCAGCCACACATATTACTGCAGAGAGGTCTTGCCCCAGTAAAGTTCCCATTCTGTCTGATTGGCTCACATGCAAGACTGGTGCCTGCTCACTAAATTGCAATGGTCCAAAGCACTCTTAGAACTCTGTTAACTAACATGGAAGACAATGCTAATGGATTAACCTCTTTTAGAGTCTCCAGCTGGGATTAGGCTCTACTTTTCTTTAGGACAAGACTGGCTTGACTTTGTGTCCAGAGCTCTTTTGAGTGGTCACCGTGCTGGGCTGCAGTGGGCAAACCCATGCCCTGTCTGGCTTGGCCACATGCATTGGCTTGTGCCCGGCAGTTTGGGGTGATATTAGCCCTTCCTCTGTGTTGGTTGGCAGGCTTCCTGCTAGGCCTTTTCCCAGTGCTAGGCCTTTTCCAGATCTGCCAGAATTGCCCCAGGGCTGAAATCGATCTTTTAGTTTATTCCTCTCCATC